CTATTTCCCGCGGTACTTAGATATGGCACCCCGCGCGCCATTCGATATGGGATTTAGTTTGTTCACGTTGATAGTAAAATTCAACGTGACAATGCCCACCCGCTGTCGCGTTCCTGGAACTCTTCAAGCGATGCCAATGTGGGCTCGATGACATACCGCTCGTACCACTCGCGCAAATCGGTGATCGATATATCTCAATGTTCTTAGTGTTTATACTCTTAATGACACGTTTGTTATTCGTCGCAAGCTCACCGTTGAACGCGGTTTTTACTTTCATACTACCGTGTCTTTCTATAGCGTCTTGCACACGTTCGAGCACTATTTCTCTCGTGTCTTCCAAAAACCGCCGCGACTCGATGTGATTAGAATTTATCGTCAGACGAGAGATCTATCGTTGCCACTCACGTACTCGCCACTCGCGTACCCGCCATCAACGTGCACAAAACGTCGCTCCAATTGTGTCTTTGCACCCGCGAGCCGCGCGATCCTTGCCACCACGGATTGTCTGTGTCCAACGGTGAAACGCCGACGCTTGGCACGACAAAGTTATTCGAACCGCTCGATGCACTCGTCGCATCGTTGCAGCCACACGAAACACTCCACCAGAGTAGCGACCTTGCCGCACTGCTCCAGCAGTTCGCGTTCCACTCGCTCGTGATTTTCCATGTCTTTTTCACAGTCTTTAGATCACGTCGCACTCTTACACAAAGCACTTGCACTTGACTCGTTCACACAAGTTGCGGCACCGCTTTACATCTAGAATGTCATAGTGTTTTTTCACCTTGGTATTATGTTCGTCGGGTAAGGTGCACTCTTCACAAGGATAGCATAATTGATTACGTATATACTTATTGCACAAGTCATGAAATACTTTTTTAGCAGGATTCTCCTCGCGGTCGTAATACGGCATCACTATATTGTCAGTTATCATCAATTCGTTGCACTTCTAACCACCAGCAGGAATCTTAATGCGCCTGCAGCTATATTGAATCTTTCTCTCACTTTTCGTTGACTGATAACACTGTTCCTTTATTAAACCGCAAGCTTTGTACCAAAATCTCTCTTCGAAGTTAATGTGCACCGTTTCGTCTCCTAACCGCCCGAATCAATATTCCTTTTCATCATCGTTATCGTCATTGATGATGACTCCTTGTTTCTCACCACGTGTACCTAATTCTCGGTCGCATAGGAACTACACTGGAGATATTCGCACACCATTTATGTCTCTCCTTCGCGAATCGCAGTCTTCATGCACAATTTTCGCGTTCATTTTCGTCCATAATACTGTTCACAATAATTTTTCAATGTGTGCAGTGTGGACACTTGTTGCATGGAAATATAGTTTACATTGACACTCTGCAATTCATGCAAATCTGCCGCTTAACGCATCAATATAATCGATATCGTGCTTCCTTACAAGATACATTCCCACAACGTCGATGTCAGCCAAAAGGATCATGCATGCTGCACGTACAGTTAAAGCACCACCCGTTGTACAGTATCATGCAGTGTTTAGTACGACTGTTCGGTGCATGGATTTCCGGAGATGGTATAAATTTTTCTACACGATCCGTATCATACTCACTAGCAAAACCAGTGTCGTCGGGTAATACTTCTTCGTCGGAATCTTCGTTCATTATCTCCTCAAAATCTATTTCCAAGTTTTCTCTTCTTCCATTTCTATTATTAACACTTCATCTCTAATATTCGCGAGTTGTCGCGGGTCTGCATTTCCAATATTCTCGACTACGTCGTCTGTTTTCAACGTTCGTACGATGATTAGCTATACTTTTCACGCTGCTCTTGTTGCAACCGATTCGTTCGTCTTCCAGGACATCAACTGGAACTGTGCGCTTATAATCCATTACATATTTTATTTATGACTTTTTTGTCCCTTTGCCTATTGGGTCACACTTTCTTTAAAAGTAGATAAGGAAGCATGGCGAGCGGTTCTTGTTCATATTTTTCACACCTCATTGATATGTTTATATAAACAACACCAACGCTTCTCTTAACGCGACATGTCACCGATCTCTTCCCAGAAAAAAATCGTTATTTACACTTCTTCGAAGAAATTTGGGCTGTGGGAACGCAGTGTAATTTCATACTTTTCACTGGCGTACCACTTTCATTTTACTGTAGAAGAGTTATGTTTTGTTTAGCAGCCGAAACATCAGCGCTTCTCTTAACGCGTCGCGACATGTCACCGACCTGACAGTATATAAACAGTGTATAAGGTTTTTTCATTTAATCGTAAACTTCGATTACGAGCGATAAGACATGGATCGAGTAAAAGAATATATACGTCGAAAATGAATCGAGAGCAAGGCGTACCGTCCCTTATCTCCAAGTTCGCCAAGTCCACCACTATCGAGGGAAAAAGCGAGATATTGGGAATGTTCTGACGAAAAAGCATCAAAGTCACCAACGTGTTCCTCATCATCAACGTCATCAAAATATAAGCCATAAGGTATCGTATTTAGAGTGACTAGTGCTAATGCATTTTATTCTCCACTGTAAAAGCGAATAGTGATCAAAAAAAGTTTTTTGTTCTCTTCTTCAAAAAGCGCTGCTAGCGATGTCTGAGCCACCGATCGCATTCGAAGGCTGCCGATCGCAAAAAAAATTTAATAAACATGAAAAAAAAATCAGTGTAGTAAGTGTAATGAATAAAAAAATTTTCGTTCTAATCACTATATATGTATTTTCTTTTACTCCTTATCCTTTCCCTCGATGCGCTAGTATAAAACCGTATTGAGAAACCTGCGTCATAAAAAAAGGAACTTTTATTCGATTGATTTATGTTTTCCGTCTTTTCTTCGATATCGCGTTACGCGCTCCGACATCGTCGCGCTCTATCTTTTTCTAACATGCGAGCTATTGTTGCCTATGCATTTTTTGGGAGGGTGCTAGGGCGATGGCGGCCCACGGCGGTGGATGATGCACGGCGGCGGTGGGTGATGGGCAGCGGCGGCGGGTAACAAAAAAAATACGGAACGCATAGCGGAACATCAACACGGGTATAATGTTTATGTAATTCATCGACCGGGGACCTATGTTTACATAAACATAAGGCCCTAGTTATCGCTGTTTATGTAAATAGTGATGCCGCTGCTTGGGGACCTTCCCCGCGCCACCCTCCTCCCTCCACGCCTACGAGTACCCCTCGCGCCCTGCACCTCCTTCAGTGGACCATAGTTAGAATCGCTCTATACTCCCTACTGATTTACCTTCAAATTTGCTTCTTTTAATCGGAGAAAAATTTTTCTATAATTTAATAACATTTCCTCAAAACTTTTTCCAAAAATAATTATATCCTCGAAATAAACTAAACAAACTTTATAAAAAAGTTCTCTTAAAATCTGTTCCATTACTCTTTCAAATATTGCAGGAGCATTACATAAACCAAAAAGCATAACCCTAAATTGCCATAAACCGTTACCAACCGAAAATGCCGTTTTCTCTCTATCTTTCGGACGAAATTTTATTTGCCAATACCCATTTCTAAATCTAAAATAGTGAACCAAACGTTATCTGCTAATTGATCGAGGATATCATCTATCTTGGATAATGGGTAGGAATCATTTATGGTTATTGCATTTACCTTGCGATCCACACAAAACCTTATTGTTCCATCCTTCTTTATAACTAATACCACAGATGATGTCCATGGGCTATTAGATTCTTCAATAACTCCTTGATCTTTTATTTCCGAAATAACTTTATTCACTTCCCCTCTCATTTGTGTTGGAATACGAGGAGCCTGCTTTATGGGGGAAGGGTTCTTCATGTTTATCATATACTCCCCGACTTTACAATTCCTTGCAAAAATCTCATTAGCAAACACATCGTGAAATTCATTTAGAAAATTAGAAAAGCTTTCTCTTTCAGACTCATCTAAATAACGAGAGTTTTCTTGGAATAAAGGCATTAAGCTCGACGGAACCGACACAACATGTTCAATGCGGTGTAACAATCAAAATTAGTATCATTTTCAGCAAATAAATTGAGAAAAATGAGATCAAACATATGTTGCAAATTAAATAGTTTGAGAAAATCAACTCCTAAAATACAATCATTGTTTATTTTAGCAATCAACATTGGAACTTCCAGGGAATTAGATGGAATGCATTAGAAAAATGCAATTTTTTTTCATATTAGTTATCAGTTTCCCCTTATTACTAAAATATTATTAAGTAGTCAAATGTATGTAGTAACTAGTGTGGAATTCATTTTTTCGATAAGTCTTTTTAATTTAAGTTTCCCCTTATTACTAAAATATTATTAGGTAGTCAAATGTATGTAGTAACTAGTGTAGAATTCATTTTTTCGATAAGTCTTTTAATTTCGTCTGTAAAAATTTGAAACTGAAAAATGAATCTATTAGCCCCGGTCTCCCCTACTCTTGCAACCATTCAATTTTTATTCTGGATATTTTTGCTGTTTCTTATGGTTTCAACGGTATTCATTCTGAAAGAAAAAAACCGATTTTTCTCAAAGGAGTTTTCAATTCCTTTAACATGCGATTCAACAGATATAAAAGATACGTATCTTTTATTCTTATCAATAGAACAATATATTAAATCTCATCAAAATCGGAGGGGGACAGTTCCGTGTGTTCCCTTGAAAGTACGAGGGTTGTTTGAAAAGTTTTGAGCCTCAACATGAAAATGACATTACTTGTCAAAACTATTCTGGTACTACAATTGTACATGTTTTGCAAGATACCTATGAAAATTGTAGCCATTTTGGACGCTCAGTTGTTTGATAATCATTTGTGCCAGTCGATGTCAGTGTTTTCGTTTGACGAAAATCAGTGTCACCCGAGCCTAACTTTGAGCTTAGGAAACAGGAAAAAGTCGTTGAGGATCAAATCTGGTGAATACGGTGAATAGTTAATTAATTAGAACCGCAATTTGTAAATTTTTGTTATGGTGATCGTCGATTCGATTTTTTCCATTTTTACAAAAAACATGACATCAACATGGCTTCTGCAATTTTCACAGTTATCTTTCAAAACATGTACGATTGTAGTACCAAAATAGTTTTGACGAGTAATGCCATCTTCATGTTGAGGCTCAAAACTTTTCAAACGACCTTCGTAAGTATAATTCTTACTTATCAATTAAAATTATTTAAACAGAAATCAAATGTCAGATAACTACATATGATTGCAAAACAAAAACTTCAAGAATAAATTACTTTCGTGTACAATTTTTTGAAAATGTAGCGTAACTTCTGATGTAAATGCATCCGCATCAAGATAACAGACTAAGCAGCAATCAAAGCTGTATATTGAAACACGTTTATGCATACCTCGTGTGTTTTGTTTTTAACATAGCCTCGATTAGTCTACCTACTCCTATGGTCTACTAGCCCTGCTCTCTCCCACATGGTTGCCATATCAAAATTTTTTAAAGGAGAATTTACAGGCCAAAGAAAATTTCATTTTTCAATAAAGAATGGACGATAACCCATGTATATAGAACATAATGATACTCATTTTTAATGTGCACAATGATTATACTCTTATGGAAAAAAACTATTAGTGTCATTACTAGTGTCACTACTAATGAAAATAGCGCAATAGTAAATTCGCTAGTAGTGTAATAGTGTAATAGTGGTGAAAAAAACTTAGTTAAAATTTCACTGAAGTTTTATTGCCAAAATAAGTATTATTGATTAACATATTTCAGAGGATACACGACAAAATTATAATAAAAAACAGTTTCCTTTATGAATTCGAGAACTAATTTGATGATGCTCCAATGCGATCCGAATATGTTCCTCTACTTACCATGCTTGACTTCTGCGATCGTATGGGAATTCTTCGAAGAACCACGAACACCTATAATGCTAATGAACGTATAATTGTAAGTTGTAACATATCTGGTCAAAGATATGAAAGAGACGGAACACGTGTAGAAAAAATAATTAATGTTAAATAATAATTGTAATGTATAAATAAAGATATATCTATAATAATAACTTGTGTTTAATAATACTGTAAAATATTATTTCTACAAGCTGAAATAATACTAATTATTTCAGCTCTAACGATATATAAGGTGTTTCTTAAATTGCAGACACTAATCATACAGCGTCATTCCTAATTAAAAATTTAGTCGAAAAGTCCCGTACAATTTTGCAACTTTCGCAATGGTTGACGAAATATTAATTTCTCAATATTGCCGAATAAATGCGTATCCAGCTGCCCAATCATACCAAAAATTACAAAATGGTGGAGAACTTTTCGATTTAATTTTTAATTAGAAATAGTAATATATGACTAATGTCCGCTATATAAGAAACTTCCTGTATATGTATTTTTTAATCTAAAAAATTTTTTATACCAAATATTATAAGTGAAAATTATATTACGTCATATGTCGTTATACACTATTGCAGTAGTAACATTAATGGCTCAGCAGTGACACTACTGTGTATCAGTAGTGATACTGATTTCAGTAATGACATTGTTAAATGTTAGTAATATCACTATGCACTACTAGCAGTTTTTTGCACTAGTGATTATTTCAGTAGTTCTTATTAGTAGAACTAATGATATGTATCATTTGTATAAAAGATTTGATATCAACAACTGGCGCCAAGTTAAGTTTTAACATTTTAATCATCCCAAAGAAAAAATATAATAGTAACTTTAATGTTTTCTTAATTTATTTAAATCTAATGATATGTATTATTCATAAAAAAGATTTGATATCAAGAATTGGCGCCAAGTTAAATACCATGTAATTCGAATACCAAATTAAATAAATAATATTAACTTTAATGATATGTATTATTCCTATAAAAGATTTGATATCAAGAACTGGCACCAAGTTAAATCCCACTTCTTTATATCACGCCAAATTATATAAATAAACAATAAATATTAATCTAATGGTATGTATTATTTGTACGAACGATTTAATATCAACAACTGTGGCGCCAAGTTAAATTTTACAAAATGAAAAGTAAAACTCAAGTGATACTATCTTTATTATTTACTTAATCCAAATGGTACCATCTTTAATTTTTATGCAATGAAACCTAAGTATACGTATCATTATTTAAGAATCTTCCTATTCCAATCCAAATGGTTTAAATTCCTCTTAAATGAAATTATTATATCACAATTCATTCCAAGACATTTCCTCTTCCAACTAAAGTAGTGGTTATTTAAATCCCCTTCAAAACATTATACGAAACATTATCACAAAATTGCGTTGCCTTGCTCAATTTAAGTGTTACCACAAAAAATTAAAGAATTAACCGTATAAAATGAAAAAATTTAATTTAAATAAAAAAACTTTACATGTAAAAACATAAAACAACCTGACTTTGCGCGGACGCAGCTCGTCGGTCACGGGCTGCGGCCAGGGTCGCAAAGAGGTTCGGCCAGGAGGAGAGAGATGCAAGGCGGTAATAACGGAATTAATACGGATTCGTGTGATAATGAGAGTATATTCTTGATATATATGTTACAGAGTGTATTTGTGTGTGTGTGTGTGTGTGTGTGAGTGG